ACAAAGTAGTATAATGTCATTTAGCGAGGAAAACCCTGGCAGCCGATGCACAACCTGGCAGAGCGACAAGTACTGTAGGTGTTACGATACACACACAACATGCTTTACAAATAGAAAGCGGTTTCCAGAGCTCTTGAATATATTCTCATTTCCCCCCACCTCAGCCCAAAAAAAGCTGCAGTTATGAAAATACTGAAATATTAAACTAGAAATCTGGAGAGAGTTGGGGTTTTTTTAAAGCTCTCTTTTCAGCTCTTCCTCCTGCTCTTCTTTTTTCAGGCAGGTATGTTTTTAGCAACTTAAACAGGTTGGGTTACCCACAAGAAGTAGTAATTTTTCCACCTCGCAGATTGAGGCATTCATCCCCTCTTTAACCAGTTCTAAATTTATTCTCCAGTATTATTCAAATAGAAATATTTGCATGTACACCCTGCATCGGATAAAACCCTTTCAGTCCTAATCCACGGGTAGAAACCACACAAAATGAAGAAGATTAACAGAATGCACCTTCTTTGAATGCAAAGAGCCTTTGGGAGAAAGCCTCCCCAAAACCCATCCTGCCTCACTTGGTTATTCACATTGCTTCTTCATTTTACAGGAGAACCCTGAGCAAGAGCAAACCTAGTACCTGTACAACACACAATATACCTTCACCTGAATAACTTGCTGGCTAATAGCCACATGGGTAAGGAGCTATTAGCCTAATTTATAGCTGGGAGACCAAAGGGAACAAAGACCAAATGAACCACTCAAGGCCACCCAAGACACCTGTGTCACCACCAAGAACTGAATGGTTTTCTTGCACTAGTCACATGCCTCGGTCACAACACAAGGCTTCCTTCCCAAGAAATCACATCACCTGCTTCTTGTGAACTTTCAAGGTGCAGGAAAGCTGAGTTTGAACTTCTTCAGCGCTCTGTGGTCACCAGATTCACTCTCAGGTGCGGTGACCACACTCGTTTTCAGGAACATAAACCCCTTGCAGAGCATTCAGGTGTGAGCAGTGAGTCACGCTGCTGTTTGTCAACATCCAACCTACCCATCCAAAACAGAGCATCTCTACTCTTTGTAGGGGGGTCCTTCCAAACCATGCCGCCACATAACATCACAGTGGAGACACCAACCTGATCCTGCAGGGAATATGCCAAGGACATACCACGCAGTGCTAACAGTAACATTAGCACTGTACCAGCACGCTATACCTGAACCTAGAAGGGGAGATGTTGGGGCCTTACTTTTGATCAGTGCTTATTTTCTGCATGCAACAGAGCAGGTCAGCATGGAATTGAGCAAAGTCTTGCTGCTTTGGGGAGCACTAACTACACAGTGCTCATGCACACAGTGAAGATATGTCAGAAGTTTCTTCTGGGAACCTGAATGGTTGGGCAGATATCTGCTGGTGACATCCAAACCCAGTGGCCTAACAGTTTCATAGGTATTTTCATAACCCAAGTGAAGGTGTTTCCAGTTTGGCTCAGATGAAAACCCCCAGGACACTGTTCTCAATTCACTTTCTTGGGATGGGGAATTAGCAACTAGGTAATGGGTTCCACTACAGGGAGAAGGGCAAGGTGGAGGATAACTGCAGTCTACTATCAGGTTCATCAGGCTGTGCTACCCCAAGTACAGGAGGACCTCAGGGAGCAGGACTTGGAAACTGCTGGGGTTTCTCAGGCTTCATGACCTGTTTATCCCTGCAGCCTACACAAGTACCATGTTCAATCCAACACATCTATTCTACAAACAGAACCATCCTTTCCAATTGCAAATATCCAGGCTGCTGGCATGGAACATCTCCCAGACACCCTTTAATTGCCACACATGAGGCAACCACAGGCCTTTGTGTAGGCAGTGACAGGGGAGAAGCTCTCATACTGCACTGCTACTGAAGAGGGGATGACATGATGCTGAGAACAGGGCTAGCAGTGTGGTACCTGCACCAGCTGCAGATCATGACCACAAGGTCTGTCTATAGCCTGAGGACAGTAACTGAGAGAATAAGTTGGTGCAAATTACATGAATTACCTAAATAATCCTTGCTAAAAATTACATCCGAGTTCTGCCATCCGTTAGTCTGCAAACAGCTCCACAGACAGCAGAGGAATAACACTACAATAAAGTATTACTCAGCAAAACATGGGGCTGAGTATGGTGCCTTTAGCATTTCGCACCTGCTTGCAAATAGACTCCCATCTTTACAACTCCATTTATCAGCCCAGATCCTCACCTGGCCACTGAGGTGAACTCACCAATGCTAGCTCTGAATTCAGGATTTACAAGCGTTTGCAGGTAGTTAGTGCAGCCTGTTGTCTGTCTCCAGGTTGTTTGTTCAATCCAGTCGGATTCCTTGTGGTATTCCCACCTCCTGCTGTCGCGCAGGTGCCCCAGGTCATTGGGTTATGAATGATGAGCCCAGCTTTCCAGCACCCATGGAGCTATTTGTGAAAAGCTTTCTAATCTGGCTCTTCCCCTTGAAAACTTGACCTGGGAGACACAACCCTGACCATGAGTCCAGTCTCCAGACAAGCTGAGTCCCAACCCAACATGCGGTTAAGTCCTGAGGGACTTAAGCATGTGCTTAAGTTCTCTGCTGGATCGGTGCCTTTACAACCAGTCCGACTGCTTTGTTAGCAGTGCTGAGCACCAGGGCTGAGCTCCAACAGGAAATAGCAGCTTCCCTTTGAAGTCCTGCCACTGATGTTCACGTAGGTGGGACTTCAAAGAAGAGCCACCGCTTCCCCTCCCAGTATCGGAGGCCCCAGTGTTGGAGAAGCAGTACTGCTGGTTTTAATTGCATTAAGGGATGCTTTAGGGCGGACGATTCAGCCCTGCTCAGAAAAAGGACAACTTAAAAAGGTTCCCACCTGCTGGCAGGAGACCCAAGGAAAGGTTAACTCGCACCCCAAAACACCCTTTAAAACAAAGGTCGGTGGAAAGAAATCACATCCCCTTCTGTTACCTGTTTTCCCTTAGTGCCACTTAAAACTGCCTTGTGTACCTTGTGAGCACCTAGTTTACTCTGGAGCTGTATCCTGGCAATCATAAGGGCCCCTCGCCAACTGGGATGTGGATGAGGAATGGCCAACCTCAGCTCCCATATTAGTGATCCCTGGAAAAACTGACCTCAACAACAGCTAAACTGAGTCAATGTGAAGAAATAGGCCCACAGGCAATCTACATGGCTGATTGTGCTGCTGACTGGCTGTACCATCACACGCAGGAGCAACTTCAAGTTCTCTGTATCATCTTTTTTCCTTGAGGGAAAACAAAACAGAGAAATCCACATCCTAAATGGTGTAAATCGACTCAACTGATATTAAAACACGGCTCCAGGTTTTCTCTTTCCAGTCTTGCAGATTGCCAGTTTCCAGAAGCAAGACCCAGTCAGATGGGAGAGGGATCAGACCTCTAACACAGAAAGCCCAGAGAACCACCAAGTACTGAATGCACTAGAGAAGTAGCCAGCGTGCCCAGGGAATGAGAAACAGTGCAGGCTTTACATGGATTTGCAAAGCTCTTCCATGTTTATATTCCTTGTTTTTCTCTTCCCTGGAATTCACTTCGTATATCCAGGTTCCATATATTTCCACATTCAAAAGGAGGCATGGATTTTGAAGGAAGATGGGTAATTTTGTGTTATTTGAGGACTGAGTATTTGGTGACCTCACTGCACAGAGTTCAGCTGAGCTATGCTCTTCGGGTCACTGACTTGCCATAACTTGGTCATCTCACCTGGTCACTTCACATTTGTACCTCCACACACAACACTTGCACATTGTTTGTGGAGTCAGCACTAAAGCAGTCTACGCCAATGAGAAGTAATAAGAGGAGGAATTTTATCCCAGTAAAACCAGCTAAGCAAAGATGTGCCCCAAAAGTGCAGCGAGAGCTTGATGCCAGACCCTGAGGGGCTGACAGCAGCAGCATCACTGTGGTGTGACAAGACTGGGCTTGACCACTCAAATGGTCCCAGCCTAAACCCTGATGTGTCTCCTGGTGTGAAGAATGACCAAAATGCTGAACTAAAGCAACTTCTGGCTCAGGAAGAAAAAATAAGTATGGAAAGTCACTCATGGGCCTTTCAGCAGCACAACCATGTGGCTATGGGGTTGCTCAACCAACTCAACAGCAAAACAGCTTGCATGGAAATGCTTGGAAAATATCTCCTTCTATCAACAGAAAAGAGACCTTTTCCCCCAAGACATTTCTCTTCAAGTTTTGCAGCTTCTACCAAAACCTGACAATTCAGCATTTTCAGCCCAAATAATGCAACTATTCCGTATACAGCAGTTTGCCATGAAAGATTCTTGGGATTTAGGAGTCTGGGGGGTTTAATTGCATTTTTTTCTCTGAATATTTAATCAACATTTTCCACTAAGGGAGCAAAAACATTCTGGCCAAGTGTAGGTTTCCTTGCACGGATGAGAAGGGCAATGGGTAGGAGGGGTCGCTGTATTTTTCCTTAAAGACACAAACATTCTCTTATAACTTAAGTCACCGCTGCACTTGCGAGCCTGACAAATATAGAGGCCTTATAAAATCAATCAATAAAGAAAGAGCTTGACCACAAAGGAAGTTCTGGTCAACCCTTCACCTTGACATCATAGACAACATTTATTTTATCACAGCCTTCAAGAAATTAAAATAGAAAAATGCATCTTCTTGGAAAAGAGCAGTTATTTTCTTCCACTGCTCAGATATTTTTATAAGCCCGGTTCCACCAGCCTCCCTCATGGTGAGAATCACCTTACCCTGCAGGGCAGGCCATTTATTTAGAGGCGAGATATTATGTCCCAAGCAGGACACTAAGATGCCTCCACCCAACAAAAACTCTACTGTGTAGCTAAGCTGGATCAGCCTACATCCCAGGTCCAAGTCTGGTTTGAAGTATTACCCATACTGTCTGGATGCTGGCCTCTATAAATAAACAGCCATGAAGGTTTGGAGAAGAGGTGAAGCTTTCTCATTAATTGTGAGCAAGGAAGGAAGTTGTAGCTTACCAAAGACTGCGGGAATTCATAGCTCCCTCCTTCCTTTAATAGCACCGCTGGAGGCAGAGAGGATGGTCCAGCAAAATAGCCAAGACAACCTGTGAAATGAAATACTGCACATGAGTAAGGGTGGCAGAACTTGCCTGACAGATACCTTTCTTGCTGGCTAATCATAACCACAATTTATAGCTCTTTCCATTAAATCCCAGCAAAAGGACATAATGGCACAGACACTAATTTGAATCCCTGGCAAACATGTCTTAACCCATGTTTGTTCACAGAATTGATAGTTTTTCACACACACACACCCCAGTACGTCTCTCTGGTTATTTATACATATCAGCTTCAGCAAAACTTCCACTGGGAAAAGGTCTCTGGTCCAGGAGGAAACTTCTGGTCAAAACACACACAAACAAACTGCCTAAAGCAGCCAAGGGCTTCAGCATTCATCTGGAGCGCAAAAGACATACATTGGAAGGCCTGATACAGATGAGGTTGTTGAACTTGGATCTTCTAAATCCAAGAGGGATATCATAACCCTCAGGCAAGTGGCCAGTCATGGATGCTGCTTTCCTGTAGGAGTCATTTCAGATTGGATGTATGTAACATCAAGACCAATTTCGTAAGCCCAGAGGCCAAGACAGTGAACCAGAAAGAGCAGGAACATGATGCTGGGTCTCCCATACACCAAGCGACTTGGCTATCTGCTGGTTTACTGCAGTAATAAGAAAGACCCCAAACCCCTTTACAGCCCCTGTGCCTTTCAAGCAGAATGGAAAAACCTTGAAACCTCACAACACCTTGTGCAACAGGAGAGCCATTTCCTACCCGCTGTTACAGGGGGGTTAGATCTGCAGCGTTTATCACCTCTTGTCGCCGAAGTCAGAATCTGGCCTGCTGCCTTCCACCCTAATTCAGAATGCGCTTTCATCTCTAGTATAAACACTGAGAAATATCAAAAGCCCTGTTGACAGTTGTGCTCTCATTTTCTGCTTTAAGAAGTTGCCAAAACGCACAAAATTAAGCTCTCCGAGTCACAGTGGGCTGTTTTGTCAGTTTATCCGATCGGTAACGTAATACTATCGTAACCTCTATCATTCTCCCTCTTTTCTCTTTTTTGCTTCCCCCACCCCCTTCCTTTCTTCCTTCCTTTCTTTCTCAAACAAGAATTTCCCCTGGAAGGGAACAGAGTTCCTCCAAAAATTAAATCACAGCATCAAATTTCAAACCCCCAAATATAAATCAAATATCGTCCTGCCGACACTGAGGAATATTCCTTTGTGTGACGCATGATGCTGAAGCGTTGTCCTGGCCACGGTAGGTAGATTACAGATATTACGGTGCCAAAGGAGGTTCTTTGGGAATCTCCTCTGAAATCACAGTAGTCAGAATCATAGAATCATAGAATCACAGAATAGTTTGGGTTGGAAAGGACCTTAAGATCATCCAGTTCCAACCCCCTGCCATGGGCAGGGACACCTCACACCAAACCATCTCACCCAGGCTCTGTCCAACCTGGCCTTGAACACTGCCAGGGATGGAGCATTCACAACCTCCCTGGACAACCCATTCCAGTGCTTCACCATCCTTGCAGTAAAGAACTTCTTCCTTATATCCAATCTAAACTTCCCCTGTTTAAGTTTTAACCCCTTGTCCTGTCCCTACAGTCCCTAATGAAGAGTCCCTCTCCAGCATCCCTATAGGCCCCCTTCAGATACTGGAAGGCTGCTATGAGGTCTCCACGCAGCCTTCTCTTCTCCAGGCTGAACAGCCCCAAGGAGCTTGCTTCACTGTCTCTTACCTCCTACCTCAAAGAGCACATTTGAACACCGGCTTCCTGTGTTTTTCCTTTTCTTCCTTGCTCTTTTCAAAACTATCAGGAAATGCTGGGCCTCAAAAAATACAGAATTAGGTTCTTTCTTACTTCATCAACAAAAGCAAGAGCAGAAGAAGTAACACCATTTAATAAACAGCAATGCTGTGGAAAACTTCTAGGAAAAGAGGAGCAATGCCAAATGTTTTTCTAGCACTGGAGTTCCTAAGCAGGGCAATACATCCCCATAGCAAGGCATGCATGACATCTGCAAACGACCTTCACTTGAAATCAAAGTGTAACATACATTACCTCAGTACATAATTCATTCTTAATCTATTAATGATATGACTCATTAACATATTAGCAACAGTAGCGGTGTTCATAGGAGTAATGCCACTAATAAAGCCATTGTTAGTGCTAACAGGTTCCAACATGCTAGTTCTTCTACATGCATATAACAAAAGGATTTGTGACCCAGCATCACAGAGGTGGTGAGACGAGAAGTTTGATAGCCCTAGCTATTCATGGGATGTGTGCTATTAACCCTTGTTATGTCCCCGAGGAATAAAGGAAGATCTAAATGTGCAACCATGAGGATTGTTCAGGTGGAAGATTCCTGATGGGATCTCTGCTGGACATGGGATGAAACCCTAAAGAATGGGCGCTGGTTTCATATTCCCTAGTACTCCATCAGGTGTGAAGGGCCTTGTAGGACCTTGTAGAGATTTCTGCATGAATACTCTCACCTTGGAAAGGTTTCATGAAGTCATTTTGCAGAGCTTGTCGAGAACTCCCAGGCAGGATAACACACAGCCTATGAAAAGCTGTTGTATGTCTTGTTTTCTACCCTTGATTTCCCTGCTTGGATATCTCACCTGCAAGGACTTGAGGTATCAATCTGTTACTCTGTCTATGATTCCTGACCACAGAATGCAGATCTCATTCATCGTAAGTGCAAACGCTGCTCACAAGATTTGGGGTGAAATCCAGGTTCAGGTTTCAAGTATCCTTAAAAATCTGCTGCTTTAAGAATCCAGCTTTGGGGTCAGGCCCTTCCTTGGTTCTAGAAAAACCACTAGGAAAAAAAAGCAGGACAGTATCCCTGGCTCCATGCACAGACAAAATCTGCAAGCACAGGTCTGCCTCTGCACCTCCGTGGTCATGAGCCATTCTGTGGGATCTTGCCATGTATCCCTGAATGTGTGGGATCCAAAATCCACACCGCAATGGAAAGTAAGACTGGGCAGGCTGGGAGGCACAGCTGGGATGGAAAATAGCCACAGCAGCTTTATGTAAGAACAATAAAAAGCAAGACTATAATTACCTTCCTGCTCACCCTCGCTGTGCTGCAATGAAGTCTCTGCCATTAACATCTCATCTACATCCAAAGGCAGTGCATCTTTCAGTGTATGGGAATCGTGAATGTAGTGAGAACAGTCAAGGTACTACAGCTCTTGCTGGAAAGAAGAGTTGTATGGTGTAAGCCTCTGACTTCAAAATAACTGCATTCATGTGAGGTCTTGGCCCACATAACCAGTGGTAAAAACATCAATATAGAATTATAATAGAAATACTGTATCATGTTCCATTTCATAGAATCGTAGAATCATGGAATAGTTTGGGTGGGAAGAGACCATCTAGCCCAAACCCACTGCATTGAGCAGGGACATCTTCAACTAGATCAGGTTGTGCAGAACCACATCCAGCCTGGCCTTGAATGTTTCCAGGGATGGAGCATCCAGCACTTCTCTGGGCAACCTGTGCCAGTGTTTTACCACCCTCATTGTAATGAATTTCATGTAAGCCAGGCCTGCAAGTGTTTTTTAGAGTAGCAGCCAGGAAAACTGTCTAATATTCCAACTCTTCCCCAAGTCTTATGGTACCCAGTATTGCTTTTAACCCCCCTGTCCTTGCCACGGCACCAACCAGCCTTGGGGCCTGCCTAAATACACTCAAACCCAGCAACGCTGAAGGTGCAAAACCAGGGGACTGATGTGGGCTCCAAATCCAGAACTTCAGACGAAGGAAAAGACCATAATTGTGGCCTATTCACCACTCAAGTGGGCAGCTAAAGGACACATGTAGAGGCTGACCATGATGATGTTGCTTTGGTGCTGCCCCAAGGGAGCTCACAGGCTCTGAGAGCAGTCAGAGATGAGTCTGCCTCAGCCTTGCTGGAGATGGCTTGGGCCATCGGAAGAGCTGTCAGTGTTCACCTTCACAACTGGTTTATCTGGCTCCCACCTGCTGGCTTTACAGAGCCCCCAAACTATTATTATCAAGAAAATTGTATTAACTACTATGTGCCCCAGTGAGTAAGTAAACGGGCTCACCCACTGGGAATGGGGAAACAAATTCCCAAAGGAAAATCCCTCCTCCTCCCTTTCCTCAGGCTTACCTTTAGTTTTAAAGACACAATCCAAACCAGCTCAGGTCATCCCACGCCAGCCAGAGGGTCAAGGCCCCAGGATCTTCCTTGCCTGGTTTTAGCCTCTTTCATAGCTTCGTCCAGATCACTCAGATAATGGGCAGAAACCTGCTAACCGTGTGCTTGCTGGAGCAACCCTGACACCTTGCCACAGCTGCCTGGCCCAAAGACTCCTCCTCCAAATTGAACAACCCCCTGCACACTCCACTGGAGTGGAAGACAGCAAGTCACGGGCAGGGACACCTTCCACTAGAGCAGCTTGCTCCAAACCCCGTCCAACCTGGCCTTGAGCACTGCCAGAGATGGGGCAGCCACAGCTTCTCCAGGCACCCTGTGCCAGCGCCTCACCACCATCATAGTAAAGAATTTCTTTCTGTCTAATCTAAATCTCCCCTTTTCAGGTTAAAGCCATTCCCCCTTGTCCTCTCATCGCAGGCCCTCGTAAAAAGTCCCTCTCCAGATTTCTTGTAGGCCTCTTCAGACAGTGGAAGCTGCCCTGAGGTCACCATGCAGCTTCTCTTCTCCAGGCTGAACAGCCCAACTCTCTCAGCCTGTCTTCATACGATAAGAACAACTTATCCTGTGCAAAGAATACACGAAAGGCCCATGTCTCAGCAGGGGCAATGCACTACTTGGATCACACAGTGACTCCAACATCTTTCTTGTGAGATGTGAAGATGCAGAGATGTGAACTTTACCTTTGCAGCACTTCAGCGAAGCCTCCGCTGCTGAATATTGCTCCTCTCTAGGCAGGGGGGGACACAGTCTTCCTGATGTTTCAAGCTGTAAGAACATGGTCTTTTATGTTCAGGCTGCTTTTATGAAGGCTTTTGAGGGGACAGCTCCAAAATTGA